CTTTTGAACTTTTCCGTAACTTTGTTCTAGAAATATGGTGAAATTAGGATCGGCATTTGGTTTTGTATTTAAGTGTTTAGAATTGGTCAACCAACCAATTTTTTGATTATAGAAGATAATAACTGATAATCTATTCTTGAAAATCACAGAATTTGGTAGAACTGGGGTTTTATTGAGAGAACAGAATTATTATTTGAATTAATTGATTTTTTGGTACTTCTCTTATTCTACTTAAAATTTTTCAGTTCAAGTTTAGAAACAATAAAAACTGATAAACATTCAATGAATCATTAATTATAATTTTTTGCTGAAATCAAATCTAACAAAAATTCAACTAATGATAATTGGAAGCAATCAATTATTTTACTTCATGTTGACCAATTCAATATAATGATGCTCAAAAGCTGTATGATTTTATGATTAGTAAAATGTCTTAACGATTGTGTTACAGCTCACTATCCAATGAAGGCAGAGTTTGAAGCTTAAAAGAAAACGAAGCGGATGATAACAAACATCAAGAGTAGTTAGTACCGGTATTGAAACTGATTATCTTGGATTATTGGTGTTAGTTCATGTATTAGACACTGCTAAATCAACAGGTAAAACAAATAATCAATCTACACTATGAAGCGTCGAATAATTTCACTCAAATATTTCATGTTAAACATAAAAGGTGTTCCTTCTTGAAAGAAGTAACATTTTTTTTCATTTTCACCTGCATATATACATAAAGTTTCCAGTTTAACTCAATATTGCCTGAAAAAACTTGTTCTGTACTCAGAAATAACGGGAATAACTTTTCGAGAATAATGAACTCAAAGTTGGGAACTTTGAATAAAATCATTATCTGATTTTTTTAAATAGTAATTGTTTTCATAACACTTTCATTTTTGACGATAATTTTCAAATCGTTTGACTAATTTGGGATCTACAAATAATTTTTGTCATTTTCATTACTTTATAAAAGCGTAAAAGCATTTTGATTCAATATGTGACAAATGAAAAATCGTTTTCGAATAGGACGTATGAACAAATAAATACAAATAAATACAATCTTCTCAAGTCTCTTTGATTAAAAAAAAACATTTTCGATTTTAGAAACCATATTGGTTCATATGGACAATCAACCATTAAGAGTTCTCGTTAATATTACAAAAACTGAAGCATTTGTAACGTCTGATGGACCATGTTCAGTAGTACTCGCCTTTCCTAGCGCATTTTAAACTATACAATACAATTGTAATATGTTAATCAAAATGGTTGTCCCAGTTCTCATTCGGAAAAACTACCTATTTGTATTATTTGTTTATCTGAATAGAACTGTATAATGATATATTTCTAACGTTGTTAACATAACGCAACATACTAGAATGCTTCAGAAAGTTTTATTGTAAACATAAAACATTGTTATGTTAACCTCTATACACTTGTTATTGCAATAGAGAATGTTTACAGAAAATTCATTTTCCAATGAATTCCAGACTAGCAAAGATGGCTTTAAAAGGACAAATACGAGACGTTCATTTTTCTTTGTGAAAAATACTTCGAATTCACGCAGTAACTTATCGGGGGGAACTCAAAAGTTTGCCTTTTCCACACCTTCATGAAGTTATTCATTACAATTTTTTTATATTTTTTCAGATTGTGGAAGGTGAAAATATCCAAGGGAGGTCGATAAAAATTCCACAAAAAATTACTTTTCATTCAAGACGAATACTAATTATTGGTCTTTCCGAAATGAGCTAAGCGTGAATAACAGTAACTTTTACAAAAACTTCAAAAAACTTGCATAATCTCCGTACTCTCTAAGCAAATTATTGAAGACTGAAATTCTTCCGTTCTCGATTTCAACCATTTTGGTTTATTACGAATCAGATTACCCAACACTTGATAACCTCTGATGTCATTTTAGGAGTGGAAATGAAGTTATTTCAATGGTAAATTATTGGAAGAGACCAAAGATAGCCATTTACCTATCGGCCTGGTTACCAGATCTATGTCAAACAGAGCTGGAAAAATTATGTAACTTGGGTTCTGGTTTCTGTTGATTTTTTTGCAGTACAAGTTGCAGAGGAAGTCAGAGAACGAATCTCATTCGGGTGTCGATGTTGAAGTTTGGCTTTGCAACAGACCACTTCTGGGAGTCTCGTTGACATGTAATTGTTGATTGATCTTTTGTCGATAGATGGCATCTTCAATTCAAGTACGCAGCAAACTTGACAATATGTCATCAAAATATGTGAAGATGGCATCTTCAATTCAAGTACGCAGCAAACTTGACAATATTTTATCGGAATATGTGAATGGGAAATACAATTTTTTTGTCTACAGTGCAATTTTGCTAGGCAGAGTGGAACATCCTAATGAAAACGAGTTCATGAGAAAACCTCATCAAGTAAGAAGTAATAAAAATCATATAACTTACAAGAAATAAAGCAACCTGACACAAATAAAGTGAGTTTTTACCCCAC